TGGGCCGACTGATTCAAGCTGATAGAAGAGCAACTTTGACTGAAATAACCACTCGTTACAACCGAGGTATGCAGCAAAGCATTTGTGAAGGCACAACACCCACAACCTTGAGGCGGATGGGCTACAACAGCAGAAGACCCCACCGGGTTCCACTCATCTCCACTACAAATAGGAAAAAGAGGCTACAATTTGCAAGAGCTCACCAAAATTGGACAGTTGAAGACTGTAAAAATGTTGCCTGGTCTGATGAGTCTCGATTTCTGTTGAGACATTCAGATGGTAGAGTCAGAATTTGGCGTAAACAGAATGAGAACATGGATCCATCATGCCTTGTTACCACTGTGCAGGCTGGTGGTGGTGGTGTAATGGTGTGGGGGATGTTTTCTTGGCACACTTTAGGCCCCTTAGTGCCAATTGGGCATCGTTTAAATGCCACGGCCTACCTGAGCATTGTTTCTGACCATGTCCATCCCTTTATGGCCACCATGGACACATCCTCTTATGGCTACTTCCAGCAGGATAATGCACCATGTCACAAAGCTCGAATTGGTTTCTTGAACATGACAATGAGTTCACTGTAATAAAATGGCCCCCACAGTCACCAGATCTCAACCCAATAGAGCATCTTTGGGATGTGGAAGGAACGGGAGCTTCGTGCCCTGGATATGCATCCCACAAATCTCCATCAACTGCAAGATGCTATCCTATCATTATGGGCCAACATTTCTAAAGAATGCTTTCAGCACCTTGTTGAATCAATGCCACGTAGAATTAAGGCAGATCTGAAGGCGAAAGGGGGTCAAACACAGTATTAGTATGGTGTTCCTAATAATCCTTTAGGTGAGTGTATATAAATAACTATATCGTGAAATATATCGTTACCGTGAAATAAAATTAGTCATACCGTGAAATAGAATTTTGGTCATACCGCCCACCCCTAATGACCGCGCAGCACAGCAACGTCACGTGAGCATGACCGCGATAGAGACGACAGTCCAAAATCCCTACCGGTGCTATCTGTCTTTTGATGATAGAACAAAAACACCTATTTTAGCATAATTTTAGAGTACATATTTGTATCCCATCCAAAATTCATCCTGGTGCCAACTCTGGACCAGCTGACCAAATATGTTACCGCATCTTCCCGCATGACTGAAGAACGTCAGCCAGAATTCATTTGAGAAATGTTGTGGAGTGAGAGACTGCGTTCAGCTCTGTGCTCTTGACATCTGCTTGGTCCTCATGTTTAAGAGCAGGTGTAGTCTAGAGGCTTCCAACTGATGCTGTAAATGAAAGGTCATGTTGCTCTGAGGAGAGCAGTGAGACCGTATTAAGCTATGCCTCTTTCTCTCTGTTGAACAGCTGAGGTGGCTGAGGCATAAATGAGCTTGTTCACTGGGTTTTAATTAGCCATGAATGACTGTTTCTTTTTCTCCAGCTGTCTGAAATACTCCCCTCAGTTAAAAAAAAAAAAAAGTCCAAATGTGAAACATGGACACTCACTGTAAAGGCCAAGGCTGCCTTATTATCGAGGCACTTCATTAAATGTCCTTGTTCACAACAAGCTCTATTGACAGCACCTGTGAAATGATGTTGGCTACCACCAAATAATGTTATATCATTCCTTAGTTGTTAAAACATACACAAATTGGGTTTACAGTAAGGCATTTCATAGATAAAGGTTTATGCATTTCTGCTGTAGTTATATTAAATTATAATAATATTTCACAATATTACAGTTTTACTGTATTTTTACTTTTTAACGGTAGTATATATTCGTAGGCCTAACAACAGTAGACCTGCTTGAAGATCAAGATAACTCATTTCAGCTCAGGGAGGTAAGTCAGACAGCTGTTCTGAAATCTATACAGGATCTAAACCAACACAGTCTCATCCCAAGGCGTCATCTAACTGACGCTTCTGACCATGCGTCAACATGCCGACGCACACACCACCCCCCAAACGTCAACATGAGACGCTCATCCTCGGGCGTCATCAAATGCCGCGCACCCTATAGCGTCAGTTAGATGACGCTTCCGTTATGGGTAGGTTTAGGTCTGGGGTAGGGTTAGGATTAGACCACTAGGAGGCGCGTCTCATATTGACGCTCAAGGGGTACCCTGTGCGTCGGCATATTGACGCATGGCCAAACATGGTCTAAAGCGTCAGTTAGTTGACGCCTTGGGTGTGAGACTGGGCTGTCTAAACACCACCTTTTCAAAAGATATTTTTAATTTAGATACAGCTTTTCTTAAAAAATATAGTAGTATTCTGGTCCATCCTCTTACCAATCTGGTTAATATCTCCATTAGATCAGGGCAATTTCCAGACGGGTGGAAAAATGCTCTAGTAATACCGATTTTTAAATCAGGAGATGACAAAATGTCTTGTAATTATAGACCTATCAGTCTTCTTCCAGTATTGTCTAAGGTTTTAGAGAAGATTGTCTCAGGACAACTTGTGCACTATCTTGAGACAAACCAGTATCTGAGTCCTCTGCAATTTGGATTCAGGCACAACCATTCCACAGAATCCGCTACTTGTTAATTAACTGAAAACATTAAACAATCACTTGATAAGGGAAATGTAGTTGGTGCAGTATTTTTAGATTTAAAAAGGGCATTTGACACAGTAAATCACAACACCTTAATTTCAAAATTAGCTAAGTTCAATTTATCCAAACAGTCATTGTGCTGGTTCGATTCATATTTAAAAGGCCGTGAACAGTGTGTTGTGATTAATAATGTGAGATCCACTTTTCTTAAAATCAAAACAGGGATTCCTCAAGGCACGATCTTGGGACCCATACTCTTCAGTCTCTACATTAATGACTTGCCAGATGTAGTATGTCCAGATATAGGTCTACAGATGTATGCATATGACACAGTGGTATATGCATCTGGTAATAACTATATTTCTGTGGCTGACAAACTAAATGCTAACTTAGAAAAAATATCATCTTGGCTGACCTCATCTTGTTTAACCTTAAACACCAAAAAAACAAACTCTCTGTCTGCTTTTCAATTAAAAAACTACCTCTAACACAACTTTTGAACGTAAAAATTAATGGGGAACTTATTGAACAAGTACCTGAAGTGAAGTACCTCGGAATAATTTTGGACTATCAGTTGAACTTTAAAAGTCATATTAAGAAAATCTGTAAAACTATTAAGGCCAACTTGAGCTGTTTTATGATGATAAGAAACTGCTTGACTCTTGACTGTGCTTTTATTTTTTTTAATTCTATGATTCTAACACGCATATCTTATGGCTTAACCACATGGTCTCAAGCTCATCAGTCATCAATCAAAACCATAGAGTGTCTTTATAACCGTGCCTTGAAAGTTTTGGACAAGAAGAGAATAAGGTACCATCACTGCCAAATTCAACGCAAATATAAGATTTTGAGTTTTGCTAATTTTATTTCCTTGCATCTGGTTAAACTGGTCTTCAAATGCTTGAATGACGCTGCTCCACCACCGCTTTGCAAAACAATAACAAGACAGCAAAGTACTAGATCAATCACCCGTTCAGTGTCAAAAGGCAACTGTAGGATCCCTTTTCGAAGAACATCATTTGCCCAGGCTGCTTTTTCAGTTAAAGGGGCAAAATTATGGAATTCTTTGCCAGACCATTTGAAATGTATCCCAACATTAGCCTCCTTAAAAAAAAATACAAAATCGTGGTTAATTCAGGAACAATATTGCTCTCATACTTAGTATTTATACTTTGCTATCTCTGTATATTTCCTGTCCTTTTTTATTTAATTTCCTTTTTCTTTTTTTTATTATTGTAATTTTCTTCTCATCTTTTTAATAATGTTAAACTGTATTTTTTTATCAAAAAGCCCTACTAGGGACAAGTGTCGTGAATTAGCTTTAGCTAAAAACACTATGATACATACATCAGATGACTGTTAAAGTTGATCTATGTTATTTGTGTCTGTCCCTATCTAAATAAACTGTTAAAAAAAATAAAATAATAATAATATAATAAATCATATATTACATAAAAATCATATTATAACAAAATATAGCCAATTAAGCAAAATTTAACACATTTTATAATAGTTATTATGATTTTTATATGATATAATATTAAGTATAATTAATATTCATGAATCATGAACAATTAGACCAGGGACATTTCTTAAGATAGTAACGGAATCTAATAGTAATTCAGTGTACATTGTCGATTCTTTGTAATTATTTGCCAGCTTTTAAAACGGTTCATCTAAAATTGTCTTTCTTAAAATGGCATTTTACGGGCCAAACATGCTCCCTGTCAAATGCGGAGCATGTTTGTTGTATATGCTCAAATTATGAATGTGAGAACAGACATGCTGGTTTTCAAAAGCTCTTATTGTATCATGCGGCCATTACTTTAGATGCACTTATTAAAGAATAATTAAGATGAACGTCTCCAATCGAGCACAAACATGACCCTCATTTGAAATTGAACTTGAAATTGGATTAGATGTCTTTCAATGTGCGTAACGTTCAGTATGAATTCATCTCTAAAGGGCTGCTTGAGCCAGCATGTCTGCCTCAGAGGCATGGTCCCATTGTACGAGCAGGTAAATGATTATGGATTTTAGTGTCCGGACTCAGATTTAGACAATTACGGCTGACGCGGTGAGCTGAATAGATATTAGGCTCAATGTCTGCTGAAGATGTATGAAAGCCCCGGTCCTATTTCAGTCAAGGAGAATGAGATGAATGCTGATGGTTTTTTTTAGAGTTTATTTGACTTATCCTTTCAAGATAATGTATGTAGCATCACTTTATCAATCACAGCGGGTTTAATTTAGTCCTTTAGCTATCCCATAATGTTTTGAACTGTTATGAACCTCTTTCTGCATCATTTGCCTGCTGCAGTTTTAGGATGATATTGTGTCATCACAGTTAGATATTTAATGTGACGGTTAAATGATTACTGCCCTTTTTGAATTGCATTTGCAAACACATCTAATGGGATTTTATTTTTTTTCCCTCCAATAGGTAAATGGGACAGAAATTGAATATGAATTTGAAGAGATTACATTAGAGCGGGTAAGTGTCTGTCTCTCTCTCACATCCATAGATACAGGCTGTAACCGTAGGCACATATTAGGCACATGTCATATTTTATGCTCGTGTGGATTCTTCCGCCTGGTAATCCAATCATTCACAGCTTGGCTTGTGAGCATGATCTTGAAACGTATAAACATAAAACATGACCAATCACGGTACGAGTTTAGCCTGTGATTAGTAATAACTGGGAGATCGTTTGATTGAATGATGATTGCGTTTTAGTTTTGTCTAGTCATTGTGTGGGAATGCTCTCGGGAAGGGAATTTGCCTGACCAAAATATCAACCTGTCAATTCTGTACTTTATCTAAAACTTTTTTTTTTAATTATGTAACTATTATTCCATAATATTTTTAATTAATACTTTTATTCAGGAAGGATGCATAAATTGATCAAATGACAGTAAAGACATGAGTACATAATGGTACATACGATTTCTATTACAAATAAAAGTAATAAACGTTATTCTATAAACAAAGAATTCCCCCCAAAAAATATTAGGCAGCGCAACTGTTTTTAACATTAATAATAATACTAAATTATGGAAGCCACAGAATAAAAAAAAAAGTAATTGCGACTTTTTATTTCACAAATAAAAAATCTGACCTTATTTATCAGAATTGTGAGGTATAAACTCGCAATTGCGAGAAAAAAAGTCAGAATTGCGAGTTTATACCTCACAAATCTTTTTTTGTGATTTTGTAACATTGATTATTACAAAATATAACAAAATAATTAGTTACATTTTGTAATTTTTTGATTTTCACATGATATATTAGTTGTATATATAATGGATATATATTTTATGAATTATTATATTCTAATAATTATTATAATGAATACTTTTATACATCAATGTAATTTCATTAAGTATAATGATTGTTTTATATTTATTATAATCTATATTTGCACTTTTAAACACATGATAAATTTAATTTAACTACAAATTAGATGCTGATCTTACTCTTTAACCATGAATATATGTAGTTATTAAAATGTCTCGAAATTATTTATGTATTTATTTATTTCTACCCTAATATATTACATTTCCATATATATTATACGTACATATTTATAAATGCATTGTTGTTCATTAAGAATGCCTTTGTAATGCATTATATATACAAGCTCCATAGAAAGTAATACTGAAGATTTAATTCATCACTGAAGTCTCTTAATTGGGCCACTCTATGTGCTTTATTTACAAGTGAAAGCCTGGGGTGCACAGTGGAGGCAGTGTGAGAGAAAGAGAGAGTGAATTAGACGGCTGCAGATGACATACTGGCAGCTGCAATCGGATCCACATGACTAGACACAGAGCACGGACAATAGCAAAGGTCAACTAGACCAGAGGGAACACAGATTTGTCCGACCCTGGAGCCGTGAGGCGGAGAGTGTATGTTCGAGGCTCTCTCTGCAGACTCAACTGAGATTACATGTTGGAAAATTGGATGCAAACTTAAGCGATAACTCTGCTGCAAGGGCCTGATCTGTTATTGTCACTTATCTCTTTCTCTCACTCACATATCCTAGTATTGCCTTTTCGTATTTACCATGACTTTACATTTGCTATTCTATAAAGCAGATCCAAAATAGCCAGGGAAGATCTCAGCAAAGATTAATTCTCCTCACAATCCACTTTGAAGCTTAAAAGCCTGTGTGTTAACCTGAGGCAGCGCCCTGGAGAGTTCCATCATAAACACGTCATTTCAAAATATTAGCCTGTTAGTCTATTTATGTCTCAGAGATGTTAAAAGTGGCTCTAGCCCACGGTTGCGACAGGTTTTGATTTGTGAGTTTGCGCTGCTCAGAGGCAATTGCCGTGCCAAACTGTAAACACTGATGAGTCATGGGTAGCAAAGTGCACCTCTTACAAAAATAACGCTACGAGTCTCTCTTTCTGTTCAGTCTGTTTTGGTTCTGTTATTCAGGCTCTTTTCACTGAGGCAAAAGACTAATAAAGGGCCTTTACATCTTTCATATTGCTGTGTGTGTGTGTCCTCAGGGAAACTCAGGGTTGGGGTTTAGTATAGCGGGTGGAACAGATAACCCTCACATCGGTGATGATCCCGGGATCTTCATCACGAAGATCATCCCTGGGGGAGCGGCGGCTGAAGACGGCAGACTCAGGTGGGTCGGTGTTTCGTTACACACTTGTGTGCTTGCATTTGTTGCGTACCATTCAAGGCTTAATGTTAATATAAAATCAAAATTGACACTACAGAGTTTCTGCGGGTCTTAAAAAGTCCTAAAACCCTTACACAAATTAAGACCTTAAAAATGTCTTAATTCTGGCATGAAATGTTGCATGCATTGTAAAAAAAAATACATGTCACCTCAGTATTTTAATAAAATTATGTGAGTTTATGACTAAAACAAGAACAATTTTCTGTGTCAATGAGTTATGGAAACTTCCCTTTGAATTAAGTTTATTATTTTTTTTGGCCCACTGGTAGATATTTGTTCTTCTTTTAATCATAAACTCACTTCTTTTTGATCCAATGCTTTTTTCCCTAGATATTTACGTTTAAAGAACACATTGACATATTGAGTTATCTTCCATTTATTCCTTAAATTTTCTTTACTTGGTCTTAAAAAAGGCCTTTAAAAAGTCTTAAATGTACTGTCATATAACCTGCAGAAACCCTGTACACATTCTCTTAATACAAACTCATATTTGTATGCTAAAAATATAATAAATATTCTTAAAAAAAATAAAGGCTCTTTATTGGCATCTGTATTTTCTTGAAGGTCCTTTAACATTCATGAAACCTTTCCATTGCATAAAAGGTTCTTTATAGTGGAAAACGTTTCTTTAGATTATTAAAAAAAAAAAAAAATCAAAGAAAGAAAGAAAAAAATTGGTTCTTTTAAGACCTGAACACTGAAAGGTTCTTTGGGGGAACATGAAATGATTCTTCTATGGCATTGCTGCGGAAAACCCCCTTTTGGAACCTTTATTTCTAGTGTATGTAATGCAAACAGGATTATATGTTCAGAAGAGTGGACAGTTTCATGGTGAATTGAACATTTTTAATGTATTGATGAATTGTCAGAGGAAATAAAACTGTTTCTTACTAAGATGAAGATAAATTCAGTAGATCACTAGGCAATTTTCTTTTTCGAGACATAATGATCTCGCTTATTGCTCTGGCTTCGTAGAGCAATCTCTTTCTCTATTCCTCCCTTGCTCTCTTTCCTTCCCCTCTCTTTCCCTCTCCCGGCTGTAAATGATTGAACCCGGGTTGTTCATCACAGTCCTAATGTCTCTCTGGAGAGCTCAAGTACCTGAAGTTTTCTGCTGACTGCCACACACTCTGACCGCGAGGTACTTTAAAAAATTTACCATCTGCGAGGTCTGAGGTGAATTGTGTGGATATAACGAATAGACCTGACCAAATCACTCTCGGATAATGTCAATCTTCTACAGGGTAAAAACAAACAAGTATGCATTATACATTTTATGTATAAAATAAATAAAAAAATTATATTTTCCTGAATTTGTGTGCATTACTTTTTAAACGAACATGATATTTTCATGAAAACCATTCAGGAAGGAAAAGTTGTAAATGAGTAAAATGAAATTAAAGGGATAATTCAGCCCAAAAAAATGTAAGTTATGTCATTATTTACTGCATGACTTTGAGAAACAAGATATTTTTTAGAAATGCCTGTGGGTTTTTATTTGTTGGTTTTTTTTTTGTCCATACAACGAAAATCAATATGCAACAATACTATTTGACTATCAACATTCTTAAAAAAAAAATATTATTTTGTGTTCCACAAAAGAAAAAAGTCATGCAGGTTTGTAAAAACATGAGAGTAAATGATGTCAGAATTTTCATTTTTGGGTGAAACACACACTTTGGGTGAGCCTATTTGCTTGATGACTCCTGCTTCTCATAGTTTTATACTGACAAAAAGGCCCTTGTTATCTCAGGAAAAACAGGGCCTCAACAATATCTCAACCCTTGCTCAGATTTTTCAAAAGTCTTAGTTGAATTTGAATATATATATATATATATATATATATATATATATATATATATATATATATATATATATTAATCAAATTCTGCAGAGCAATGTCTGCATTCATTTAACATTTTACAGTAGTTTAATTGATATTGGTGAGCTGAGGAGTTTCTATTCCTTGCTGGATTTGTTTGAGATTCATGTAAGGGCCGACCAGGAGTTGGTTGAGAGGGTTGTTTTATTAGAGGGAAGCGTAATTAGATTGTGCTGGAGAGATAGCAGATCTTCCTGTGTTTTGTATGCATGTGTGTGCGGCGCCCCGAACAGCAGCTGCATGTGACAGCCCCTTCTGAGCCTTTCACCCTGCTCTGCTCCATGACTTGGCTGTTTTCTTTTATCCTCTGTCTCTCAGTCAGGTCTGTCAGGGCTTTGAGCATCACCAATCCTTCTCTTGCTGCTTCTCACCTGGCAAGTTGCGCCACTCCAGCGTTCTATATTCTGCAAACGTCTTTCCATTCCCCTTTCCCATCCACCACATATGCTGCATTCTCTCTTTTAAAAGAGTAAGACACTTTGAACGTTCACCAATAAGCTGTGATAGATTTATGGTGAGTTGGAGGTGAACGCCATTTAGAGAAGCAATTACATTGTGTAGGGTTTTTTGGGGGGGGGGGGCTGCCCTTGTTTGACTTTGGGAGTGTTGGAAGCTGAACGGGCTCCAGATAAATCATTCAGGCTTTAAAGATGTGTGGAGCAAAGAAACAGGAAGCTGCATCAAAGATTCTAGATTGGATGTAGCACACGTATGATCAGGCTTTATAGAGTTGGACAGGGATCAGTGACAGGGAAAAACCATTAAAACTACAAACTGCTAATGTTCAACAAAATATAGATGCTTAGTTAGAATTTCTGTAAATTTAGATAAAAAATATATATTAGTGTATTACACACAATTAAAATGTTTGACAATCAAGTATTTTATATATTATTACATATTACATTTCACAATATTACCGTTTTTTCTGTTTTTTTATCATTTATAATTAGGGTTGGGTACCGAAACTCGGTGCCAATAGGGAACCGGTTCCGACTTAAACGGTAGTAACCAGACCGAATAAGAAAGAAAATTTCGGTGCCTGATTTCGGTGCCTAACTTCAAGCGCACACACACGCACACACATACACACAAGGTCTCTCGCTCTCTCTCTCTCCACCGTGCGTGTGCTACACAGTTTGGAGCACAGTTTCTTCTGTCTCGCATGCGCGCTCTTTCCCATTCCTCTCATACCGGGAATTGAGAAAAATGCATGTTTTGTGCGCTGTTTGGGGCTGTACACATCGCCACACAATTGAAAACAGCTTTCGAGGAATTACCTTTCACAAGCAAGACTGAACCTTTGTTTTTGGTTGTATTTGGTCATGATTTAATTAGTAATAGTAACGTTCAGAGGATACATTTAAAAATACTACTGTTATTGTGTCACGAAATGTAGTTTTAATAGTTTTTCAGTCGACAATGTAGTTGTTTAAAGCTCAAATATGTTGTTTGTTTATAAAGATAGCGTCTATTTAAAAATCACAGAAAATGCTTTTTCCACAATAAGAAAACTTAAATTATATCTCAGTATGGGGGGTCTTCACCATTCTTATCCAAGAATAAAAAGCCAGATACATGACAAGCCTGAGCTTAATTGACCATTCTTTATTAAAAAAAATTTTTTTTACAAGTCTAACTATCGAGATTTTAAATAACTAGAGATGGAACTTTTTGTACACCACATACAAACCACTGAAATCGGTTGATAAATGTAAAAACAGTTTGTTTTTATCCAGAAAAAACGCAGCTCCCCCGTTTACTTACATTTGTTCACAGCGCAGTCTTGTCCTCCGCAAAATGGCGGACCCGTTGACGTATCGCAGCAACGTTCCAAAGGGGCCAATAGGGCGTCTATGTATTTATTATGTCTATGGTCAGAACGCCCTCTGGGTGTGCCGATAGTCTGAATCCCATATAGAATCAAGCCAATTCATTGGCTGATGGCGCCGCATCGACGCACTTACGTCGTCATACTATGCTGTCGCGCGCGCGCCATCTGCTCCTCAGATTTCTCTGCCGAAAAAGGAAGCTGGTCGGCACCGCGAGGAGCTTGGCTGCGTCCCGTTCCCTATTGAGAGATATGTTACACCAACCAGAGATGTTCTCTTTCATAGGTTCACTCAACGCTGCGTAGCTAAGAAGCAGTGGATTTGTATTTGTAGGCTGCTGTATCACGTGCCGTTTGAACTGACGCGCTACAGCGATCTGTCACATTTCAAAGAGCCAAAACGTTATTTATTGTGTGAATCTCGTAAAAATATTGACAGAATCTGACAGCTGTGGATTTGTTCCATATCAAAAGTAACCTTCTCTGTCTTGTCTGTCAGTGTCCTCTTTGTCCGCGATTTTTCTGTGTGAAAAGGGTCATTTGCGTGAGTCTCACGGTCAATGCGTGAGAGTTGGCAGCTCTGCCTGCTAGTAATCTCTATTAATCTCCAGTATTATTACATTGTTTGATACAATATTGTTTCATTTGATATTATGTAAATATGAATTTTTATTTTATATTGGTTTTATTATTACCATATGTTACTTGTATTTATATTGTTTAAAGATTTAAGTTAATATTGTGTCCAGTTTGGCCCTGTAAATTAAAGGGTATTATTTTTTGATAAAGTGTGTGCGGTTTCATTTTCTTAAGTACCGATTTAAGAACCGTTTAAGCACCGGAACCGTTTAAAAAATACCGAGTAGGTACTGGAATCGGATAAAACCCAAACGATACCCAACCCTATTTATAATTGAGCTGTGGAACATTATTCAGCTTTATAGTTACTCTGTTGCATATATATATATATAGCATATACATATGTGTGTTCATGGTTTAGTTTCAGTGTGTGTTCTTGTGTTTGCTGGGTCTCAGCTGCTCTATGTGAGCATGCCCCAGGAGGCGGCTGTCCTTGGACCACAGGCGGCCATGATCTGGAACTCTGCAGGAGGCTCACCACACACCGAGGACTCCAGAAAACTCACTTCTTGCTTTTATTTGTCTCCGCAGAGTGAATGACTGTATTTTGCGTGTGAACGAATCAGATGTCTCAGAGGTGTCTCACAGTAAGGCAGTAGAGGCTCTGAAAGCGGCCGGATCGATCGTGAGGCTCTATGTGCGCAGGAGGAGACCAATGCTGGAGACCGTCACCGAAATCAAACTCATAAAAGGACCAAAAGGTTTCAAATTTACAATTACCTTAAAACCCATCTGTTACCTAAGCTGTTTGTCACCGTTCACATTAGGGATGTGTCACAGTTGTCGGCTGTTCTACAAAAAAAATACTATTTACTATTTTACTATACAATACTATTTTAGTATTGTTTATTCGTAGGTGTGCACAGCCACGGCTCATCTGTAAGGGCAGGCGGTGTAGTGTCCCACCAAAAATATTCATCCAAAACATAGACCTCTATATAAACTGAATCAATAATAAATTGTAAGTGTGTTCAGCATTCTGCAACAAATATTCTTCAGATTTTCTAGATTACTTTAAGACGTAAAGTGAGCGGGATATATTAAAATTTAACTTCGGCAGGCATGTATTATGATACTATGCGAGGCAGAGAGTGCCTCTTTGTTTTATGTTTGTTTTGACAATAAAAATGGCTTTCTTTTCCTCACCGGAATTCCTCCACAACTCGTAATATTTTAAAACAACACTCTGAGGCAATAAATACTACATTAAGGCAATTCTAAGATGTTGTGTGTATTTAAAGCCTGTCAATCAAAATTAGAGCGCCACCCTCAGGCTGAATAATGCAAGGACACTAGACCTCTGCCAAAAGTGTGTCTGCATGTTCAGCAATTAGAATATAAAGCTTACAAAATGTTTATCATAAACTAGCGTGAAGATCCATAATCTGCCCTACCTAAATTTACGATCAGAAGCCGCTACTGGTTGCTGGGGGTTTTTCTGCTGTTATAAAAGAAAATAGGCTGTTACTCATGTACACATTCACATCTAGGATGCGAAAACAAATGGAAAACAAATCAAGATTTGAAACTCCACTGAGCCTGAGAGTTATCACGTCCTCTTTTGTTGGTTGTTGTTTGGGTGGAGCAATAAACAGAACTATATCCTGAGAAAGACACTGCTTTGATGCATTATTCAGAGTGCATAGAGGAAGACGCATCACACACACAGCAGCACTTACACAAATTTGGAGAAAAAGCTTCGGGCACCATAGACACTCTGAATCCAAAACACCATTAACGCATTGTACAACACTTGTTTTCTCCTCTAGGAAACTAAGGAACTAGATTGTGCTTAAGGAAAGTTTATACTTTTTGCTCTAAGAGTGTTTTGAGTACAGTCCTTTCTTAAAATCCCATAGGGCTCGGCTTCAGTATTGCAGGTGGTGTGGGAAACCAGCACATCCCCGGTGATAACAGCATTTATGTCACTAAAATCATTGATGGGGGCGCTGCGCAGAAAGACGGACGGTTACAAGTTGGAGACAGACTGCTTATGGTAGGTCTCATTGACCTCTGATATTTATTTTATTACTTTATTTTATTTTATTCGTTTAAATTTAAATTAAAACATTTTGAATTTCATTTGTATAGTTTAATTGTATTTAATTTTCATTTAATAGTTTAATTTAGTTAAATTACTGACCAAACACATAGAAGCAGCCCTCAGAGATGTTTGGGAACGAGCTGCATCCATAGTTGGGTGATTACATTCCTGAAGTTTCGCTCTAGTGTCAGTGTCAAACTCCATTGCTTTTAATCCAGGTTTTTTTTTAAAACTCTTTAAGACTGAGTTTGATTTAATTAGCAAGATCAGTGCTCTGTGTAATCCACTGGGCAGGACACATTTGGCACCGCTGATTCGCCATTGACCACTAGAGCGTAACCGTTTACGTAACTCTGGATTGCCCTCTTAACACTTCCTGCTTGTTTTCTCTTTCGCCCAGGTGAATAACTACACTCTGGAAGAGGTGACCCATGAAGAAGCAGTGGCCATATTGAAGAACACGTCAGATGTAGTATACCTGAAGGTTGGGAAACCCACTAGTGTCTATCTCTCAGACCCCTATGGGCCGCCTGATATCACACACTGTGAGTTATTCTTACCACATTTCACACTTCATTATGTAATACATATGCTTAATGCTTTAGAATTTTTGAAAGTAATCTGGAAATGTTTATTTTTTAGTCATTCAAGCTATCGATTTATTGGTTGTTATATTGATTGGCATTGTGGTGAACCAATTTATACTATAATATACTCTTTCTCTCTCTCTTTATGTGTCTCTACAGCATTCTCACCCGCAATGGAAAATCATATCTCTTCCCCCGGTAATAACGGCACTCTGGAATATAAGTCCAGTCTTCCGCCCATCTCCCCCGGCCGATATTCCCCCCTGCCCAAGCACTTGCTGGGGGAAGAGGACATTAACAGGTTGGATGGTTTTTCCTTCCTACGGTAATTCCCTCCCTCTCTACCAGATGCCACTGCCCACAGGTAGACTGTGTAGCCCCCTTCCCCCATGTGTCCTGTGGAAAATCCGAAAGACAATCAAGCAGCGTCATCACACCTAGTGATGGGATTGTTTTGGGATTTACTGTCCCATCCTTACTCCCTCCCGTCCTGTTAGTTCTGTACTGTTTTATGTTCCTGGATTTTTTGTGGTCCATGTTTGTTGTGAATGTACAGAATAACATAGGCTCTATCTACATTTTTGTACTATGTTATGACATGTTTACCATACTGCATGATTTGTAAGCGAACGTGTACATCACATAATCAGCTCAATATGTATGGCTTTTCTGATGTAGTAAACTTGCTCGGTAGTTCACCTGGTACAGCATTGCAATTGTGATGCGGAGCACTCGGGTACGACTCCCGTGTAACACAAGTCATGATAAAAGAGCTCAATGCATTTTATCTCACCTTTGCTTTTGTTAAGACTAGCGTGGTAGGTGGTATGTTAGTTCTAAACATAAATAGAGCTTTAACCTTTTAGTGCCATTTCATTTCTGAACTGCTGCAATGCGTACAACAAACAACGTTATAAAAGGTTGCCAGATTCACGTTCATCTGTTTCAGATCAAACTGAATTTTTTTAGCTCTGTTATCATTTCATTTAGAAAATTACGTGAATCGTGCAAGAAGCAATGCAATATCATTTGGCAAAAATGACGGAACAGGCACATTTTTCAAATGATCCTGGGTTTGTACAGAGTATCATAGAGACTTAATAGTGGGCTTATTTTTATTTGAGTCAATAAGAAACCACCTAAAACACTCTATCAATCATGTAGAACACCTTAGCAACCACACATGGCGCATGATTTTATTACCAAATAAAAGCAGAATATAATGTTTCAAACTGAAATCTGTGATGATATCAGTGTGTGTCGACAGCATGAGCTTCTTTTTGTGCGCTGGCTTGCTTTTAAGGATGTTTTGGGAGACATATGTTCAGGACAGTTAGGGCTGGGAATGTGTTTGGTTCACTGCAATGCAACCTGAATACTGAGCATCATCCCTGGAGTTTTCTGGAAAAGAAAACTAAATTGCACAGTCAGAGCTGAATCTGTGGACTTGTCGAAGTCCCTAAGAACTTTGAATTCAGAATAGCAAAAAAAAGTCAGACAGACTTCGGTTTTGATTATCTTGTCATGCCCTCTTTCTGCCGGCTGGCTTCTTGATGTGTTCATGGGCCCTGTGGTTGTTTTGGGCCTCTGAGGCTGTTGATGGCAGTTCTAATGGAATTCTGGGATTCTGGTTTAGCTACAACACATCTGTGAGGCAACAGCCCCAAATGCTGTCAAGCAACCATCGCTAGACATAAGTGTCTAGCGATGGTTGCTTGACAGGATTTGGGGCTGTTGCTTCTCGTACACGTGTTGAACATGTTGTAGCTAAACCAGAATCCCAGAATTCCACTAGCCTTATTGTCTTAAAGCCATGTTCACCATAATAAGCTTCATCTAGTCTGAAAGTCATTACTAAATAAATACCCAAGTTCAACCTGCCACTATAATATCTCAAATATGTTTTACTTTTAACGGACGGTGTTGTTAATGTCTCCCACTGTGGAACACAGTTGATGGCACCCTGCTGTGAAAAATTCCCAGTTTCTCCATAAATGCTAAACGTGCATGCAAACATGCGTGCCTAACAAAGGGTGTGACCTTTCTTTGAGGTGAGTGAGATTAAAACCCCTCCGGGGGTAAGAGGTTTACATGGTCCCTGTGTTTGAGGAAGCATAAGCCCTTCTGGAAGTTCAGCTCCCTTCATCTTCACTGTGTTTTCCACTGGAGAATTAAGCACTCTGAGATAATCAAAGGTCTGGATGAAGATTATAATATGGAATGGCAGAATGCTGTAGCCACTAATATTTATTTTAAGTTCAGAGGCTCGGAAATTGATTGCGAGTGAAATACGGAATGGGGCGTTTCATGTGGATTGGCATAATAAATCTGAACTTATGTTATGGCTCACAAGTTGAATAATTAATTAGGTGTGACATTAGGCAGATGTTCAAGTGGGGAGGGTGAACATGATTTTGTTCATGTGTGTGTCATCTTGGTTTAGGGGCAATGGAGTGTGCAGATGTAGTGTGTCTAGGAGTTTGTTATGTTGCAATAATCGGTGAAGCACAGCATAAGACCCCCATTGCATTATGGGAGCATACAAATGCACACACACACATACACCATAATATTATACACCAAATGTTAAAAACAGTTCCAAATACTTTACATCTGTGAGGCTTTAGGACAGCAAAACTACACACACACACACACACACACACACACACACACACACACACACACACACATCCTAGTCGTTCAATCATCATGAATAATACAGCTTCAGAAGTAGACCATTCCATACTCACATCATGTACATACACACTCAGCAGTGTTACCAAGGGTCAGTACTCAATTATTACTAAGCTCACCTTTAATGAACAGGACATTCATAATTATTAGATGTGTAGTCAGGAAGTTCTTATGAATTATGTAGTTCAGCAAACTGCTGTGTGGTCGCTGACCTTAAAAGGATAGTTCACCCCAAAAAATCACCCTCAACTTGTTCCAAACCTGTATGAATTTCTTTTTTCTGCCGAACACAAAAGAAGAAATTTTGAAGAATGTCGGTAACCAAACCGTTGATGGGCCCCATTGACCTTCATAGTATTTGTTTCCCATACTATGGAAGTCATTGGGAAGTCATCAACTGTCATCAGCTGTTTGGTTAACCACATTCTTCAAAATATCTTCTTTTGTGTTCAGCAGAGGAAATAAATTCATACAGGTTTGAAACAACTTGAGGGCGAGTAAATGATGACAGCATTTTCATTTTTGGGTGAACTATCCCTTTAAGGACCAGTTTAAATCCGAGGAACTGTTGTTGCATGGTTATGTGTGTATGTGTAGGTATGCACAATGTGATGTACCAAAGTAGGACACGTTATTGCATCACAATCCTTCTTGGTCATTGAAAGACAATCAACCATTGTACAATCATAGTTTTAATTTTTACCTTAAAGGGATACTCCACCCAAAAATGAAAGTTCTGTCATCATTTACTCACCCTCAAGTTGTTGCAAACCTGTATGAGTTTCTTTCTTCTGCTGAACACAAAGGAAGATGTTTTGAAGAACGACTGGAACCAAACAGTTGTTTGGCACCATTGACTCCCATAGTAGAAAAAAAAAATACAATGGAAGTCAATGGTCCCAAAGTTCCAATCGTTCTTCAAAATATCTTCCTTTGTGTTCAGCAGAAGAAAGAAACTCATACAGGTTTGCAACAACTTGAGGGTGAGTAAATGATGACAGAATTTTCATTTTTGGGTGGAGTATCCCTTTAAGGACCAGTTTAAATCCGAGGAACTGTTGTTGCATGGTTATGTGTGTATGTGTAGGTATGCACAATGTGATGTACCAAAGTAGGACACGTTATTGCATCACAATCCTTCTTGGTCATTGAAAGACAATCAACCATTGTACAATCATAGTTTTAATTTTTACCTTAAAGGGATACTCCACCCAAAAATGAAAGTTCTGTCATCATTTACTCACCCTCAAGTTGTTGCAAACCTGTATGAGTTTCTTTCTTCTGCTGAACACAAAGGAAGATGTTTTGAAGAACGACTGGAACCAAACAGTTGTTTGGCACCATTGACTCCCATAGTAGAAAAAAAAAATACAATGGAAGTCAATGGTCCCAAAGTTCCAATCGTTCTTCAAAATATCTTCCTTTGTGTTCAGCAGAAGAAAGAAACTCATACAGGTTTGCAACAACTTGAGGGTGAGTAAATGATGACAGAATTTTCATTTTTGGGTGGAGTATCCCTTTAAGGACCAGTTTAAATCCGAGGAACTGTTGTTGCATGGTTATGTGTGTATGTGTAGGTATGCACAATGTGATGTACCAAAGTAGGACACGTTATTGCATCACAATCCTTCTTGGTCATTGAAAGACAATCAACCATTGTACAATCATAGTTTTAATTTTTACCTTAAAGGGATACTCCACCCAAAAATGAAAGTTCTGTCATCATTTACTCACCCTCAAGTTGTTGCAAACCTGTATGAGTTTCTTTCTTCTGCTGAACACAAAGGAAGATGTTTTGAAGAACGACTGGAACCAAACAGTTGTTTGGCACCATTGACTCCCATAGTAGAAAAAAAAAATACAATGGAAGTCAATGGTCCCAAAGTTCCAATCGTTCTTCAAAATATCTTCCTTTGTGTTCAGCAGAAGAAAGAAACTCATACAGGTTTGCAACAACTTGAGGGTGAGTAAATGATGACAGAATTTTCATTTTTGGGTGGAGTATCCCTTTAAAACAGTTTTTCTCAACATTTTCGATTCCAAGGCCGCCCTAAACTTTTGAATTGTAGTGTATTATTACTTTAATATTTTTTTTAGACATATTGCAACCCACTTGTAAGTTAGCCGAGGCCCCCTAGTGGGCTCCCTGGTTCTAAACCTACCCCTAAATTGAGACATTTATCTGTCTACATGGAATGAAACATTTCAGGTGTTGATGTTTAATGCACAGTAATGAGGAGCAGGATTTTAGACTAGTGAGATTTCACAATGGGCAGGGCTAACCAGCATAACAAATTAATGTAGTATGTGATATTGTTTCAGGACCATCAAAATATAAACCATCATTGATAATTATCCATAAACTTGCTACTCAAGTCAATCACATTAAGTTTGTGGTTCTCTATATGTAGCGTGAGTGGGTGACGCTAGCCTGTTCCTAATTCTATCTCTGTGCCCTGCTGTCAGTGTGAAGGGCCAGAGGGTTTGTGCCGTGGTTGATAATAAGGGTTTTGTCATGGTTTATTTATCCCTCTGTGACCCTGTATTAAGGGCAAGGAGAAGGGAAGTATTGCAGATGTGGAAAAATGTGCTGAAGCCAGATGCAGAGAGAGACTGAGAGAAAGGCAAGACACACTGAGGAGTAGAAGATACAACGAGAACTGTTCTAAATATAAAATGATAATGATAAAAGGGGGTTGAATGAATGGATGGTAAAAGAGTGTCTGTTAGTCATCTCTGTTTAGGACAAGTCACAAGCTAGCATCACATGATGCAGAGCGAAGAGAGAAAGCGGTCGTCACAAAAACATTCCACTCGCATTAACTTCAGTATGTCTAATGTAGCTTTGCATCTGCAATACGATCTCGCTCTCTCTTACCCGAAACCAGATGCTACAAATTAGCTCACTGAAACTTGCAGGATATGTTAGATCCTAGTGATTAGCGCACATGTTCCAGACGCATTGAGCCTTGCTGCTCATGTGGGCAATTCAGGTTTGAATCCAATCTGTGTCATGTACCGATTCCATTCCTGAAAATGTATGTCAATAAAAGTAGCAAAATAATTGATTAGGTGTATAAACATGTCTAGTTTTTCAGTAGACCGTTTGTGCATGTGTTGTATGCTACATACACTACCTTTCAAAAGTTTGGATTTATTTTAGGATTTACAAGAAGTCTCTTATGCTCACCAAGGCTACATTTATTTAATCAAAAATACAGTAAAAACTGTGATATTGTGAAATATTATCACAATTTAAAATAACCATTTTCTACTTTAATATATTTTACAATGTAATTTATTACTGTGATGAAAAGCTGAATTTTCAGCATCATTACTCTAGTCTTCAGTGTCACATGATACTTCAGAAATCATTCTAATATGTTGAGTTGGTGCTCAAGAAACATTTCTCATTATTGTCAATGTTGAAAACATTTGCACTGCTTAATATGGTTGTGGAAACTTGGATTTTTTTCAGGATTCTTGAACAGAAGTTTTAAAAGAACAGCATTTATTTTAAAATAGATTTTTTTTTTGTAATATTATAAATGTCTTTACTGTCACTTTATATCAATTTATATTTGCCCTTGCTGAATAAAAGTTTAATTTCTTATGGAGCCCAAACTTTTAAACAGTAGTAGTGTATCTGGTTTTACATTGAAATATTTTGAGTGGTTGATTAGGTATGTTTGTGTGTCAAACCCAGTTGTATTGTATTGTATAATGGGGCTTGTTGTGTTGTCATATTTGGTTTTGACCTGGATTCTGTTGGTGTCTCTTTTTTGTTTCTGCATGCTACACGTAACAAGTACTGAATACATTTCAGCTGTTTTGAATACACATTTGAACATTTTACACACTTTAGTTTCATTAAAAAACTGTCTTCATGCTAACCTATTGTCTGTTTCTGATCAGAAATCCCTCGTTAGATGAGATGGAAGGTCACAGGTTTGATTCCCAGCACTTCCAGTTGAGGTGAGCGACTTAAGTGAGCCGTCGTTTGGGTCCTGAATGTTCATTTTTGTCCTTAATGCACACGCTCTTACTTCCTGCCAGCCTTTTCTGTTTTGAGACTTTGGATTGTTTGTATAAAATAAACAGCGACGGTCAGATCTGTAATTCTGAGAGTCCAAAAGTGATTCAGAAAGAGGGAATTCATAAAAGGAATGACAGATAAAGCAAGACATCTCTGGATGTCAGTCCCTGTGGAGTCTCTTTAAACTGGCATGACAGTATTAACACAGAACAGTAAATAATTTTTTTTTTTAGTTTTGAAGATCTGAGGATGCTTAGGATGGTGAAATTGAAATGGTCAATTTTTTTTATTGCAACACTACTTATCAAAGCTAATGTATTTACAAATGTTGAACTAACTAGTTTCAGTTCCTTCCTTACTCCTTTTAACACACTTCCACTGCCATGTTTCTCACCCTTTTCTCTTTTTTTCTCTGTCTATCTTTCTCTTTCTTTCTCTCTCTCTGTTAGTGGTCGACCGATATGGGTTTTATAATGGCTGATAGTGATTCCAATATCTAGAGTAAAATTGCACATTTTAGTAGCATAAGAGATATAATACAATATACATTAAATTGGTCAGCTGTCCACTTATTTTTTAATAATATCTACTCAATATAATTTAATAATTAAAGAAAATGCATTTTTCACTGAAGACTGTTCAGAATGTCAGTATTTTTGTCTTGTTTTCTAAAACAGAAATCTAAAGAGTTTAAAAACAAGAAGAAAAACATTTCAAGATAATGTATTTTTTTAAAAGGGTGGTTGATTATGATTTCATTTTTCTAACTTTAGTTAGTGTGTACTGTTCCTGTTTGAGCATAAACAACATCTGCAAAGTTCAAAGCAAAGGGAGATATTTTCTTTTACAGAAATCACTTTTTAAGGACTACAACAAACAGGTTTTTTCCCGGGTTAGTGACATCACAAACCCCTAAATTTACATAAACCCCACCTCACAACAAAGGGCTCTATATAGCCCCTTTCACACAGAGATTCCGGAAAATACACGGATAAAGCGACCCGGGATTTGACCCGGGTTCGTTTGATTTTGCTTCATTCACACTGCCAGTGATTTGCCGGAATCAGAGAGCGCGTTCACACACAACCCGTGTATGTTCCGGAAAGACACGTGACATCGATGTGACGTGTAATGTCTCAGCAACGTGTATAGTTTGCTTATGAGCTGCGATTTCTCTCTGGAGAAACCACGCTTGTGCATTTTTTTCTCTGATTCGATCATAAACTAGCGCATTACATACCGTTTCACTAGCCTGCTTTCACTTTACTTCAGCGTCATCATTACGACACGGCATTGGTTACGGCTTTTGTTCACACAGCGCGCGTTCCGGGTCTGAACACGGCAATGTTACTAGGTCCCCAACCCGGCATCGATCCCGGCATCAGTCCCGGGTCGTGTTTGTGTTCACACAGAAGGCACTCTGGCAATTTGCCGGCAATTTGCCGGGTTCAAAGCGCTGTGTGAAAGGGGCTTATGGCTCTGCTTAGAACGAGCTGTTGAACCTCCGCCCTCTGTGCCGGGAGCAGCAGCTCATTTGCATTTAAAGGGACACACACAAAACGACGCATTTTTGCTCACCCTCAAAAAAGGACAATTTTAACATGCTATAAAAATGACCTATGGGGTATTTTTAGCTAAAATTTCACATAGCCACTCTGGGGACATCAGAGACTTATTTTACATCTTGTAAAAAGGAGCATTATACCACCCCTTTAAGTGAAAACACTGAATTAAGCACATATTCTCTGAAATCAAGTCTTAATATTGTATGCAATTTTGTTTCTCAGGTAAATTTGTCATTTTTAAATATTTATACTGGAAACCGAGTCAAAAAATACAGAACAAAATTTGACACTGGGTGCTATATCGGTCTGTATATGCTATATCGGTCTGTCACTACTCTCTATCGATCTACTTCAGCGCATTAACCCTAGCTGCTCTGCTCTCTGCCTCTCTCTTTCTCTCCCACACCAGGCCTCCAGAGCCAGTTTACAGCACTGTGAACAAACTGAGTGACCGCGCCCCCTCTCCCCGTCTCTACTCCCCCGTGGAGTTTGATAAAAGCCCCATGCACTCAATCCCCCACTTCCCTCACTATCACGTAGGCCTGCTCCCTGACTCCGAGATCACCAGGTACTGAGCACAGCGCTCTGCATGGGACGTCAATTAAAATTCTGTGGCCACATCTCACCTGCATGACCACACCCTAATTTATGCTGGCTTGCATGCCCCGCCCCATTTTAAAGTCACCTGCATGCCCCAGTTTTTGTGTACCTCGCTCTTTCCTTAGTCTTTTTTAATACATCTGCAGAGGTTTGATTCAGTGAACAGGGTTCATGTTTTGTAAGAATCATATTTTGAGAGAACCTCCAAGAAAGAAATCAAAATTAAATCAATTTTATAAGAAATACACTTCCATTCTTCCATTTCTTACTATTATCATTGTTGAAAACATTTTTGTGAAAACCAACCTTTTTTTAGGAGTCTTTGATGAATTGAGAGTTCAAAATAACAGCATATACAGTATTTGAAATAGAAATCTTCTGACATTTATAAATGTCTTTACTGGAATTTTAATGCATCCTTGCTAAAAAACATTTCTTTAAAAAAAAAAAAAAACGTACTGACCCCAAACATGAATGAGAGTGTACGTCTGATATCGGAAAAAAAAAAAGTTGCGAATGCCATTTCATGTTGGCTTTAATGAAAGAATTACGGCAGTGAGGACTGCAAATGAGCTGCTCTAACAGGTTTGCATAATTCTCATTCATTTTTATTCCTCATACTTCATCCGACAATAATGCAAAGTGCACGTAGAGGACACGAGCGTGGAGATTGATAGTTACCATGGCAGTTACCCGTGACAACAATATAACTGAATCACATCTCTGCTGCAGCTGTCCACTTACTTCCTTCCCTTCCCAGCCACTGTCAATTTGTCTGTATTTTCATTTGTTAGACTGTATTGCTTATTGACAGCTTCCCCATGAAGGTCAGAGCTTGGCCACTGTCATTCGTGGTTTGCTTGTGTGCCTGTGGCATCCATTCAACATTAGTGCATCATAACTCAGAGTGGATTGATTTTATCTTCCTTATTTCCTGCCTAACTGATATCACTTTAGGTCCAGGCAGCAGCTTGTATCATTAATTGGATATAAAACTTTATTAGCAATAACGCAATATCTCTGCTCTCGCTGATTAAATGACTAGGCTTATAAATGTAATAGTCGGGAGATGAACGGAGTGTAAACAGGGGGTTCGGCCGCGGAGGAAATGCTCTTCGGGACTAAGAGACTCTCTGGCACAAATGGCTGAGTAATGTTTCGCTGTTATCCAAACCCTGCGCTTAATGCCCTCAGCGTGGGTGTGCTTTGTTTACCGGTTTGTTTTGATTTGAATTTTTTTGTTCATTACTCTATGAATTATAAAGCGCCGTCTAATTGGCTTCTCTGGGATTTGAATTGATTTGCATTTCAGAACGCCACCGCTAACACCTAATGCATCGCTTAAATCCTCAGGACTTGCGAAAAAAGCATTCATGAAAATGCCAGCGTTAACATCTGTGATTAATGGATCGCTGTCTCTCATGTTCAGGGTCTGCCAGGTTTTTGATGATGCTTTTCAAGGGAAAGCGCAGGCAGCAGTTCTGTGAAAATGGCCAGTTCTGTGTGACCGAGCATGTGAGATTGTCAGTATCTTACCAAAAAGGGAACAGTTATCATTTTATGATGCACAAACACCAAAATACTCTGCCTAAGAGTGCTGTTACTTCAGATTAGCCTTGTTTGAGTAACTCCTGACAGCTGCCAGTAAAGAAAATCACGTGGCGCTCTAGGAATATATGGTGCGAAAGGTTGGTAAAAAGCTGTGATTATCCCCTTGTGCCATTTCTATGCCATTCATGGCTCAAGTTATTAGCTCAAAACTCTGGATGTAGAAATGTGGTCCATGAGCTGGCAGATGTCAAATCCGAGAAGTTTTTCCAGGTATCACTGAACTCTTTAGGCATCACCAGGAGATACTGGTATGCAATTTGCTAAATTATCCTCCAAGCGGATTCTTTCTTGTTCGGTGTAGTCATACCCTTTGATTTGACTAGAATTCAAATGTCTTTGATGTTTTCTTAATGCGTATCCTCTTGGCAACTTTACACAAACATTAATGTGATCTTAATCAACAACCTCAAGCATGGTTCCCAGAGAGTATTTCTCCAGATCCTGTCATCTCTAAATCATCAGTCAGGAGGGAGATTCCTTCACATCACTCAATGGATGAAGCCGTTTGGCAGAATCGCTCTTGGTTTCCGGGCACTTCTGTAGCTTTGCACCATATGCGTTCGGTGGGGGCTGTGTCCCCTACACCGGCTGCTCGCTGATTTGAAGTGATAGTTTTGTTTGTATGATGATTAATAATTTGTTTGGGGCTAAAAGCAAAGGGTGCATACTAATTGTGTTTTGCTGATGTGGAAAAATTTGCAATGACATAGACCATAAATCACAGTTCCCACGAGATTTTGCTACTTCTAATTTGTATGACTTGTGTTCCTGTTAGAGCCGGATAAACTAGCTTAATCTAGTTTGCTGATAGATTTTTGAAATATGCTTCTGGTGAATGCAAATAACAAATGTCGGAAATCTATAACCATTTCTAACAGTGACAGGTGTTGTTTATGTATATTAGTATTGTACGAGAAGAATACTAATTATTTCATCCATAACTTATATCATCAGTGAGGATGTGAAGATTAAATTATCTCAATTTATAAGTGGTGTTTGTTAAGACAGCCTAGGATAAGAGATTTGAACTAACTATCAAACCCTAAGGATTATTTTTTGGTACATAAGTTTTGCCTATGTATTTTGATGGATTTATTCATTTAAAAATAGACATATCAAAAACTATTTAATTATATAACTATTTAAAAAACTATTTAACTTAATTCATGTTTAAAAATATGTCTTTTAGTGGTATTTGCTCTGGCAAAACTTTAGTATCCAAAATAAACTTGCACAAAAAAAAAACTAAGAAGACATACAGATCTTGTTGTGTTCAAATTAATGATGTAATCATTTTCCTACTTGCCGTAAAAAACATTATTTTAATCTGTTTTAGTGGACGTTTATATTTAATCTACTATTTGGCTGTTTACTTAGAAACAAAATGATAGATTCTCAGAAAAGCTGTTTACATTGTGGCAAAAGTGCATCCATTGTTTGTTCTTTATTCCCTAAATGTCCTTTGCAGTGCATTGTGGGACATGCACTTTAGTGAACCAACAAATAATGAACCCTCTTTACCAAACAAACCTCACTCTTCCCTCTCACTGATAGTTGGCAATACAGACGCATCTCACATTGATCAGCGGTACAATTTCTGCCAGCTTTGTAACACTTGTTTTCATGATATACCAAGCATATGCCATTTTCCCTCGGGAGGAAACATTGAAGCTTTTTAAAAACAAAAGTTCAGTGTTTACTATTGCGTCATCCTTTAAACTTCCCTAGCGGGGCCAACCTGCTCTTTAAAAGGGACAAAAAATGAAGCAGAAAAGATTCGATTGGATCTGCTGAGTGTATCGGAGTTTACCGCTGTGATTCTAACAGTCAAAGGTGCAGAAGAGCCTGCTATCTAGAGACTCCATTGAGCTAAGAAGTGAAAAGGCCATCCAGTTCTCTCGCTGAGAGAGCGTTTTTGAGGACGGCAGGGGGTGCATGTATCAATAATACACGTCTTAACATTTCTACTCAACAGCTAAATTGCTCTGTGAGTGTTCTCTGAATCTGGGAATCTGATGAAAGTCAAAGCCTATTGATTGTGTCGAGAGGTATCGGATATGTTTGAGGGTGTTGTTCGATCTGCGGCATTTATAGATTGGCACCACAGAGTGTTGAAGCCGGAGAGAAGCCCAACATAGGTCATAAGGTATTCATGGTTTTATTTCAGAGGTCATATCTGTTGAACAGGGGGGGATGGATGGATGGATGGATGGATAGATGGATGGATGAATGAATGAATAGATCAATAGATAGATGGAGGAATCAATGGATGAATGGATCAATAGATGGATGGATAGATAGATAGATAGATAGATAGATAGATAGATAGATAGATAGATAGATAGATAGATAGATAGATAGATAGATAGATAGATAGATAGATGGATGGATGGATGGATGGATGGATGGATTGATAGATAGATGGAGGAATCAACTGATGAATGGATAGATCGATAGATAGATGGAGGAATCAACAAATGGATGGATGGGTAGAAAGATAGATAGATCAATGGATGGATGGATAGATAGATAGATAGATAGATAGATAGATAGATAGATAGATAGATAGATAGATAGATAGATAGATAGATAGATAGATAGATAGATAGATAGATAGATAGATGGATGGATGGATGGATGGATTGATAGATAGATGGAGGAATCAACTGATGAATGGATAGATCGATAGATAGATGGAGGAATCAACAAATGGATGGATGGGTAGAAAGATAGATAGATCAATGGATGGATGGATAGATAGATAGATAGATAGATAGATAGATAGATAGATAGATAGATAGATAGATAGATCAATAGATAGATCAATAGATAGATCAATAGATAGATCAATCAATAGATAGATCAATAGATAGATCAATAGATAGATAGATGGAGGAATGAACAGATGGATGGATAGATGGATGGATAGATCAATAGACGGATGGATGAATGAACTGATGGATAGATAGATAGATCAATAGATAGATGGATGATTTAATGGATGGATGGATGGATCTATAGATGGATGTATAGATAGATAGATGGATATTTGAATTGATCAATAGATCTATAGGTAGATGGAGGAAATGATGGATGGATGGATCAATAAATGGATAGATAGATAGATAGATAGATAGATAGATAGATAGATAGATAGATAGATAGATAGATAGATAGATAGATAGATAGATAGAGGAATCAATGGATGGATGGATAGATTGATAGATGGAGGAATCAACAGATGGATGATAGATCGATAGATGGAGGAATCAACAAATGGATGGATGGGTAGAAAGATAGATAGATAGATAGATCAATGGATGGATGGATGAATAGATTGATAGATAGATGGAGGAATGAACAGATGGATGGATAGATGGACGGATCAATAGAAGGATGGATGAATGAACTGATGGATAGATAGATAGATAGATAGATAGATAGATAGATAGATAGATAGATAGATAGATAGATAGATAGATAGATAGATAGATAGATAGATAGATAGATAGATAAATTGATTGATAGGGTTCATTTGTTTGTGAATTGAACAGGAGTCACTACTATTCAAATATATGAGGCTGGAGGCTTAACAAGATTAAGCCCAGAAGAAAAGTGACAACCATATTTAGCTCCAGTTGTTGACGTGCCTGATAGTTGTGTCCAACAGATGCCATGTAATGGGATTAATGTTCTTTACAACACACACAGTTTGACTGACAAACCTAGAATTTGTTTCAAGTGAAGTTGCCAACTATCTAGAAATGGAAAGAAAATGTTAAAGAGCAAAAATCCATTAAGGGGTTTCTTGCTTTGTCGAGTGCTGAAATATGCAGTTTTTAGCTTTCATCTCGTTTCTTCGAGGCCGAGGGTCATTACATAGGTACTCTGCAATTCTTTTCCTTCATTGAGGTTGAATTTGAAAGGCAATGGTTATTTTGCCAGTCGACAAGAGCGTAGCATGCCAGCCCATTAGAAATGACAGCTTATATTTCACGTGGATGAGGCTTATGACAAATTTTCATATTCAGAACGCTCTTACACTGGAAGAATGTTTGGAGTGAGAAGGGAGGGAGAATAACACAGGATGACAGTGAACAAATGATTGTGGGTAGAGATGTGTGTGAGGGGCTGCATATGAAATGCCAGTCCGCCCCTCTCCTCCTCGGGTATTGTGAATGGAAAACGAGTGTAATCTATTTGGTTTGTTTTCCCATTTGGCTCTGAACTTGAAATGATAAACAGTGGCTGTTTGTAATCTGGGACTGAGGTGTTGGGGGAGACAGACAGGAGCTCTATCAGGGTTTTGCAGCTGGGAGGGAGAGAGCGAGAGAGAGAGAAGTTTGGAGGATAGAAATGCGAGTGAAGAGAAAAGATTGAGAGTTTAATGAGGATGGTTACAGCCGGTGGGGCGCTGCACGCACTCAACCCACCTCTGAGCCAGCCGTTACTCAAAATAAATCTATATGCAGTGTCAAATACCTACTGATCAGCATATCATTAGTATCAGCGTGAGTCCTCAGACTTCAGATCAGCTGTCACAGATCCTTGTGATTATAGCTGCAATTTATGTTTGTATAAGCTGGAATAATGCAGGCTCATACCGACCTTAATTTTAATATTAATATCAGGTTATTTTAATTCATAATTTTAGAATTATAGTATTTCTATCCTATTTTTTCCACCAATTTGTCCATTAAATGAACCACTGACTAAGATGAATAAAATCAGAGCCACCTTAAACGTTGTTGTCATGTTACAGTCATGATGTGTCTTGTCTTCTGTAAGCTGTGCAAGACAATTATCAATCAGCATATATGCCACTTCTGTGACTCGTTTAAAAAGTCTGTCAGCACACCTTTTCTGTGCCGTATTTGCAGTATTAAGACATATATGACTTAATTCTACTTTGACTTTCTGCAAAAGCATGCTGTTGGGATTCAGGGTAGATTTTGTCTTCAATGAATTATGTGGTTGAAATAAAATGGAATAGGGTGCCATCTAGTGGTAAAAATCGACTGGTGTAGTTCCCATATTGGGTGCTTCTCAATTCTTATTTGTGCATCCTCGTTTCCTTTGCTCACTTATCCTAGCCCCGGTAGGATGTGAGGGAAGGCTGCAAGGAAAGAAAATGAGGATGGAAGAATCGAATGAAGGCTTTTTTTATACATTGGAGTCTGCCCATGTGTTTTTAAAGTTTGCTTATATAAAAGAAATTCATAATAAATCAAAGTAAAGCAAGATATCCTGTTGAAATATGTGAGATGTGTGGTTTATAAAAACTGCAAAGGTAAAGTATAAATTAAAATTATCGTGACCGATGTGAAGGGGGATGAGAATGTATACGTGCGTCACGTTTAGTCGATGAAACTCTTCCCCAAATTGGATACACCTGTGTATCCTCACTTATGACTCCACTTATGACAAAAATGTCCTTCAAGATGGCTGAGCTCGATCAGTTTCCGGGTCATAGGATGGAGGACGGAGGAGCGAGGAGACGAGGAGGGATATTGAGAAGCACCCATTGATTTTATTACAAAGTGCAAAGAGACTTGGAACTGTTCTTTGCTTGAGGTCTTTGCAGGTCATATTTTTTTGGTTCATAGTGGCACTCATACATGAACAATGGGCAGCATTATTATATCTAATGGGTAGCCTACTACTAAACATGTGAGCTCCATTTCTGTAGCATCAGACTAATCATAAGATCAGAATATGTGATGAAATTTGCTCTAGTTGACTTAATAGCCACCAAAAATGCTAGTGTAAATGTATATTTCTTAATTCTTCTCTCCATTACGTACGCTCTGTTTGTTGTTAGGATGACAGACCGTTTAAAAAGTAAAAATTTTAGGCTGGTCTGCTAGCCTGGTTAAAACCAGACCCTTCTCAGTTTAAACTCAGTTTCAGAGCAAATCTAAATTTGCCGGAAGTTGTCTGGGTTTTCCCAGGCTACTGGTCTGCCTCAGCGGTCTAACAGTGCCCATCAATGTTAAAATTATGGCCAATCAGATCAAAGAAAGCAGGGCCTACTATTCACTGAAGACGAGTGTGAATTACAACATGACGCTTTTAGTTTTTACTGTGAGAGAATGCGTGCGTGGTAAGATGCAAGTATCTAAACATTTAATATTTGACAACTGTTTTACGATGGATATGTTTATTTAACGACCCACAGTAACATACAGTGATGCAAACTACTCAACTTTTTAATGTCATTTTGCTATCTTGAATTGAAAATATGCTATCATTTAAATGTTGATGACTGAATGTGATGAGACAAGAAACTTTTTGGACATAATAGACAAGAGTGAATGTGTGCATACTTTTGAATAAAATATTATTTGCAAATAGTTTAAATGGATTACTTCACAAATATGTTCAAGATATATGGTTACGGCCTTGTGTTACAGATTTACAGTACATGTCTCCCTGAGAGGGGTGGTATCCAGACGTGCCAGTCTGACTCATGAGTATTAATAAGGTTTTTTACCATTGGCCAGGCAGAGTCGTAACTGATTCGCTGAAAAGCAGGATTACTGGCACAATCAGGATTACCACTTACCGATTACATGTTTGTTTGATCAACTCCTGATGCAACCGATTGGCAGAGCCTTCTGCTGGGTTTTAAATAATGCTGTTGTTTATGTTTCTTCTTCATACTGCAGCCAGTGAGAAAAAAAACTCTTAAATATAATGATTATGCCCCAAAAGTGTGTTTTCACATTTCATGGGATGCATTTTGGCTTAGTTTGTGTTTATGGCCTGAAGAGCATCATCTGAGGCGAGCCAAACAGACGCACAGAGAGAGAGAGAGAGGAAGGGCCTGCCTCTCCTCCTCCTCACAACTAGGTCAGATTGAACACAGCGCTAGCGGATTAGCCTTCTGTTCTAAAATAGCTCCATCTCTGGTGTCGTCTCGTTGCATTATCATCTGTAAACTCAGGAGATTGTTTATCTTCACATTTCAAGTGTATCTGACAGAAGTGTCACAGCTCAAGATATCTCTTGGTTTGATTGGTCACACTTGACAGGATGATGCCCCAACTGTCAGGATCCTATGACTAACTGAATGGGCCCAGGCTAAGTGGATCAGACTTTTTGGGAACATTTTATCACAACCTATAATGCGTTTCAGCACAGCTCGGGATTCAAATTCTTAAAAGAATAAAGAAATGTTGTGACATAAAATAAGAATTATTTGAATATAGTTCTTTTATATTTTAAATGCTAGGCTATGTGCTACATTCTACACTATGTGTGTATTGTTAAGCTGATAATATAACTTTATTCTTTTATTTAAAAAATTGTTTGTTATATTTTATATATTGTTTATTATATTTTGTTTTAAATATAATAATGTGTGTATAAATAAACATAACGCAGTATATTATGTATTTATTATTACATTTTATATGTACACACACTGTTGTAAAAATAAAACAGTATATCAATGCTATATGTTTAAATCACAAGATAAGTAGGAACATACTATCTATCATAGTATATACAGTAAGTGACTGTGTGTGAGAGAGAGATATTCTATGTGTGTGTGTACCTGGTATTCCCTACGTTATGAGGACCATTATGTCCCCACAAGTATAGTTATACAAAAATATCTAATTTTTGACCTTGTGGGGACATTTTTTGGTCCCCAGGAGGAAAACGTCTTATAAATCATATGAAATAATGTTGGATTTTTGGGGGGGAGGTTGGAAAAATGTGTGGTTAAGGGATAGAATATACAGTTTGTACAGTATAAAAATGATTGTCTTTGGAAAGTCAAGTCCCCATAATGATAGGAATACCATTGTGCGTGTGTGAGGCTGTGCGTCTTCTCCGTTTCTAGGAAACCGGGCGGAAATGGGACAAATAGCACATAAGTGGAGCAGTCCCCAATAGGTGTCAGCTCTTGTGCTTGACTACATTGTAGACTGTTTGGACCGACCCAAGTGTGTGGATACGTGTGTGCGCGCACGCATAGTTTGCATGTGTATATTTACAAAGGAGCGCAGCGTGTGTCAGTGGAGATGCTGAGCCCTACGGACTCTGATCTGATGTATTACCTGAACTGTGTGTACAGGGAGCCCAGGAAGATCATTCTGCACAAGGGCTCGACCGGGCTGGGCTTCAACATCGTAGGAGGAGAAGATGGAGAAGGCATTTTCGTCTCCTTCATACTCGCAGGAGGGCCAGCAGACCTCAGCGGAGAGCTGCGGAGAGGAGACCAGATCCTATCCGTAAGTGGACGCACAAAAATACACAAATATAGAAGGGCTTATCATATATATGAGCGCAAAACAGAAAATATGATCACAGTGATCATCACAAAGTACATTGTTCTTCCTGTGTGTTTCTAAACATGAGATAATCAGTCAGTTATTGGGTTTAACATTTATTACGGTTCAAATATCTACCTCAAAGGTCATGAATAGATGTCATAGTTACTTTTTTTTGTTAAAAACAAAGCTGTTAACACTATATAAACATTTAGGAGGACACATCCCCCTTAATATTCAAATGAGTAGTTGATAAATCTAGGTTTTTAAATGACCTTGTTTCGTTAACTTTTACATTAGGGTCCCCTAGTCATGCGTATTATTGTTTTAACAGACCTAAATGTTTATGGGGTAATATTAATGTTTCTTAATTTTTATTAAAAACTGATTTTTTATTTTTATTTGAACAAACATCATGTATACTATTCAATTGGTAAATACAATTCCCACGGAGTAGTGCAGCACCTGTGCTGAACAGGAGATGGCGCCATCACATCATTCTGTGAACTCTAAAAAACTTGTGACAAAAACATATTTTTATTTTTTTATTACATTTTTTGTCTAGTCACTACTCAAAACTCCACCACTACCAGATTTCTTTTTTCTCATTATAATTTCAGCACTGAGTTTTTGGCACAGATTCAGTGCCATAACTTTTTGGGCGGTGTGTTAATTGGCGGCACAATTACAGCTCTCATTGAAACAATTCAGATCAGCGATCCACTCGAGAAGCTCTCCAAGCTGATTTCCCGTCGCTGATCTCATCATTTATGTTTATCAGAGCTTCATCAGAACTCGCCGGTCGTAATCAGACCCCTCCATCCAGATCCCCGCAATTACTGTCGCTGCCGCTTGAGCTGAGAGCAATCACAGTTAGGACACTGATTAGAAAGCAAGAAAGAACAAGGGAGAGGAGAGAAATAGAGAGGGAAGGAAGAGATAATGGAGTGCTGGCCTGATTTGGAGTCTAAGAATAGCTGTGGTGTACCTTCTGAGTTCACACTGTTAAATGAGCATTAGGACACGCTGCAGGCGCACTGAGACTGGCATACACACGCCACATCTCAAACACACACACCTCGTCTGCCCCACCCACTGCACTGTGCTCTCATGTGAGGTCTTCTGTTTGTAGTCCTAAACCTGCTGTCACACAAGATCCTGTTCCCCATGGACCCCAAAGAGATTCCATTGGCTATTAACTATAAATTATAGGCAATCGCTTGAATTAGTCTTAATCATGAAAATACGTGACTGTATTTTAATTGAACTGATTAAAAAAAGAAAAGCGCTTTTGATTAGATTAAACAAGAAATCACAATTTCAGAACACAGATAGGTTCTGTGCTTAACATTACATGAAGATACTTTCACAATTTGTTTTAAAACATAAATTACACACAGTCATACTCTACATTTCAAATAAATTGTTATTTTGAACTTTCTTTTTATTCATATTTCCTGTTCTGTTTTTTAACTTTCTATTAATTAAGAATCCAGAAAAAAATATATAAGGGTTTTCACAAAAATATTAAGCCCCACAACTGTTTTCAACATTGCTATTAATAAGATATTTAGCACCAAATCAGCATATTAGAATGATTTCTGAAGGATCATGTGACACTGAAGACTGGAGTAATGATGCTGAAAATTCTGCTTTGCCATCACAGGAATAAATTACATTTTAAAATATATTCAAATAGAAAACAGTTATTTTAAATTGTAATATGTCACAATATTACTTTTTTTTACTATATTTTTGATCAAATAAATGCAGCCTTGTTGAGCATTTATTTCTGTGACTTCTTTCAAAAACATTTAAAAACCTTGCCCACCCCAAACTTTTGAATTGTTGTGTCCAGTAACTTGAACTTTGAAACTGTGGAATGCTTTAAAAATGTAAGTTGCTACATAAGGACTACAACACTTGTCAGCGATGGTTAATTTATTCCACAACTGAAAGTGTTCAGTAATGGGGGGAAACCGGGATGAAACAAATAGCATTTGCCTGGTAATGTGATCTCGACATGTCGACCCCCACAAAACAGCTTTTATTAGGCTACTGATTTGACAGGAGCCTTCATGGAAGTGAACATAATTTAATACATATTTTTCACAATTACTATTGATTTATTTATGTGCAACACTTTTTAATGAGGAAAAATGAGTGCACCTGTACGTTTCCTGCCCTCAGCCGGTCCCAACTTGCTTGAACTTGGACTTTCATTTGGCTCATAAACAGAGCTGATGATGCAGACAGCTTAGGCAAACTCATATTTTGGAGGAACATTGATTACTTAGTGGTCCAGTTGTTGCAGACTCTGGCTTACAGGGTCCTGCCACCCACTGATCTGCTACTGTAGGCTTTTCCTGAACCGGAGAACCGTGCATCTGGATCACAGCAGGCGTTTCTAATGCCAGATCACTCCAGGCTGCTCTGTAGCAACATACAACATTTTCTGAAAGTCAGGCAATTTAAATAGGAATTTGCCAGAGAGCTTTAATAAGAGTGACAGTATTGCTGCCCATTTAATACTTACATTTTGAGACATTAATATAGGTCAGGTGATGAATTAGCTTATAAGCTTATTAATGCTTTATGTACACTTATAATGTATTGTTAGGGGTAATGAATTGTCAAAAAGTCATTCTAGTATTGTTGATCATTTAGTTAATGTTTCAGGTGAGTGTTATTGATAAGACATCATTAGACAGTTAGATGCTAATGATGTAACAACCTTTGTTGTGATTGATTTCAGGTTAATGGAATCGATCTGCGAGGTGCCACTCATGAACAAGCTGCAGCTGCACTGAAAGGAGCGGGGCAGACGGTAACCATCATCGCCCAATACCGGCCCGAGGGTAAGTGTCCGTCAGCTTCTCCTGACCAAACACTGTCGATGAAGGTCACATGATTCTTTCTCGTGGAGCCAATCAGGGTGCAGAGGTCACCTTTAGCTGCAGGCAGGACAGAAACACAACTCACCCAGACGTTTTTGGGCCAAGCCCTACCCGGTGCGCACATTATTCCTCCTGACTGTTACAGAATAGCGCATGTGCCCTCAGAGTGTTGAGGTGCCATGTTTGATAAGTGTCAATTAGGGGGTTTGGCTGCTCTGGACTCCAGTGACCTATTCAGATGGGGTTGGATGCATCACCATAGTCTTGGATCTGAGAATGTTTTCACAGGCTTATCTTAGTTAAAGGTGAAGTGTGTGGATTTTTTTTTTTTTTCCCGATGTGACAATGCTTCCTTTAATGCTAATTTAATGTGCTTAGACAACTACGAAACTAAAACCTTTGTATCGTTCACAAATTCCACTAAAACAATTTCACGGTTTCCACAAAAATATAATACAACACAACCGGTTTCATTGCGATTTTTTGAGCAGCAAATCAGCATATTAAAATAATTATTTATGGAGGACCATGTAACACTGAAATTTAAAGTTAAATTGCAGTTATGAAATTGTAATAAAATATCACAATAATACTGTTTTTATGTAATTTCAATCAAAGAAATGCCTTGGTGAGCAGAGGAGACTTTTTTCCAAAAACATTAAAAAAAATCTTTCCAACCCAAACTTTTGAACAGTAGTGTTCAAACTTTTTCACTCTTCAAAAAAAGACTCAAACACAAAAAACCTCTATTATAAAAGATTGAATATTAATGTTATGTGTATTACTTGCAAATAATTTTATTTTATTCTTTTTTTGGAATATACTAATTAAAAAAAAAAATAGAGAGAAAAAGGCTTTGTAGAAGCAGATGGTGTACTGTAGTTGTGTCATCAACCAGCAAAGGCCAACTGAAACATACGGAGCCCCTAAAGGGACAAAAATATGAGATGGGAGGAAAATTATAATTCAATGCTTTTGCGTTCCCCCGAGAAACCTTGCGTTCACTCGCAAAACATTTGCGTTCCCCAGAGAAACTTTGTGTTCACTTGCATGAATGTGAAAATATTTTGATCTTTGTTAACCACGGACCTTATTTTAGTCATTTAACCAAAAAATTAATCTCATTGACTTTGGGATGATGGAACTTAAAGTGCAAAAATGCTCTGGGTTTTAGGACCTGTTCCTGCAGCACAATTCCCAATTCCAATTGTTGCCACTAGGGGCACAAAAAAATGACACATTTCATCTTTAAATTGTGGCTATACAAAAATACAAGTTATCATATTCTCCATGAAATAGGAATCGGTATATGAGGTGTGCATAGCATGAGCTACAGATGTGTGCTCGTACAGTCTGTGATAAGGTGAGAGAGACAGATGTGGCAGTGTGGTCAGGTGTGTACTGATATGTCCTCTCTTTTTTCACCCGTCAGAACTTGCCCTGTGCTCCCCACGCCAGGCCCCGCCTCCAACTGCAGGTTTGTGCCATGTGATCAGCACCTGGGTCAAAAGCAGTACCACACAGACAGACTGCACAGAGCTAGACCACAACGAAAATGCAGATTTTACAGTTCCTTTTTGCCTTCCCATGAGGCTTTGGGAACTCCGACCAGGACAGTGTGAGCGCTTAGATCTGATGGTCTGGGTTCAGATCTCAGGTTCTGTCTAACTCTCTGCAGTCTAGCTGAAGAACGTGGTCTCATTCTTGCCCCAGTGGCGGCTCTGACCATGGGCCTCTCATTCAGGGGAAGGGACAGAGAGAGACCTTGCTCTCCTGATAATCCTGTGTGCATCCTGTGTTACCCCTGCCTGCTGCCTCACTTGATAAACTCCTCGGCTCCTGTTGTGTTTGTTCTTGGCTCTAACCCACCCGTCCAACACAGACGGCTGCTATACAGTACATATACATCTAGATATTAACACTGAGAGATCAAGACATTTTAGATATTTTACATTCTAATAATATTGTGGAAACCATGATAGATTCTTAGGATTCCCTGATGAATAGAAAGTTGAAAAGAACAGCATTGTCTTTAAAATAGTAAAGACTTTTATAATGTTACAAAAGATTTCTGTCACTTTTGATTATAAAAGTTTCTGTCACATAGTGATTATAACCAAGCTAAGCAGGGGCTGATTCATATGAATTACACGATTCAATATGAAACACTGAGTATTATCATTTTACACAGTTACTAGAAGATGTAGTTGCATTATTATTTCATTTTGTTGACATATTACGTATTGAAGTTATATTTGATCATACATTTATGCAAATCACATGGACACACATGACACTTAAAGCCACAAAATTGTGTATTTTACAGGAAGTTATATGGGCTTTACCAAAAGCTAAATTAACAGCTCAGGGTTCGGGTTCGGGTCAGCAACCATGCTTGTTTACTACTCTGCTCACTGTCTCCACTCCTCTCCTCCTCTTCCTCCTTTGACCTTTTCCTCTCCCAAACTACCTGTTGCCCTCTGCTGAAGCCAACACATCCTTTCCACAACACACAGATCATGCTCACAGAATGGCGGCTTGTAAGCCCACTTACAAACACTTACAACTACTATGGCAATTTTCTACACTAATATGTTTTTCAGCATATTAGTACAGATTTGTAGTCTATTCATTCTATCAATTGTCACACAACTGTGGCACTAAAATTATTTGGACACTTACGCCACACTTAAATATAAAAGAATCTATAAAAATTAAGTATTTGCTATTTTATATTTAATGCAATAACATTTATTTTTAAGTGTGACTTAATTGTCTAGATTGTCTATTTGGGGCCAAGGTATGTATTAATGCATGTATTATTAAATGAGAAGTAATGATTGCGACACATGATTGAGTGTCCTGTTACATTAAAAAAAATAAACACACGCCAAATCACTGACACGTGATGTTCTATTATTAAAACATGTTTCTAATATAAAATTGCATTTATATTATTTCACTTTAAGACATCAGACGCCAACTATAATCATACTGATGACTGATAATACATTACTTGTGTTAAGATTCCTGTCATTCTGATGTCTGTAGGGAATCTGGCTAATGACATTCTAGCATCTGACACTCATCCAGCATATATCACTGAATGAGATCCTATGTAGAGCAGTTAAATATGTGGAGGAGAGACATAGTTAAGGTGACGATCTCTGTCTGCCAAGAGCTTAGAGGGGCGGACGTGCTCTGGGGCAATCACTTTGGCAAGTGCATAGGATTCCCCATTCATAAATTAGGACTTGAGGACAACTTTAGCAGATGGAGGAGGTGAGGATGCTTTTTTATTCAAATGGCAGCAAGAGACAGTCATCAGAGGTTTCTAGAGCAGCGTTCTAGTCACAGCGACTATTGACATTTTCATTCCTGAACTCCACCTTGCATTATTTCCTGAATTTTGGCTGAGTGGGATAATGTTGATCTTTTGCCGACCAAGCCTTTGTGAATCAACAAGAATTGATTCTCTTGCCATTAATATTTTATTCTAATGGCAATTTCCCCCGTTTGCAATATAGCCATGCACTAAGCAAAACTGTTTAGTATAGACGTTTTGTGGACTTTCACAATAAGTTTCGGGGGTGCTTTCACAAGTTCTAGATAGTCAGCATTATGATTATTTAGTCATAGAGCCGTGGTTCCAACTAGGCTGATCTTTTCTCCGTAGCTCGATCTAATTCCCCTGATGCCATTGGGATCAATTCTGGGGAGGTAGAGCTCATTAAGGTGCAGTGGTAAATGCAAGCTTGCACTTTCTGCAGGGGTGTTGTGGGACTGCTGAGATGGGCTTTCCAAGGGTCCTTTTCATCAACAACTCCCCGAGCCATCGCAATACGACATCCTCGCTGTGTAGCAACACAAAAAAACACATACAGTTCCAAGTATACTGAATATGGATTGATAATCAAGCAAAATCAAAGTCAAGCTGAGATTGAGGTTCTTAGTCTGTCCAATCAAAACATGAAGTAGACTCTTATTCCAGAAACTTAGCTTAGACAAGCGTAAAATAACTGATTTGCTCTTAATGGAGGAAAATCACTTATTTAGGAATCTATGTATGGTCAGGGGACAAGATTAAATGTGTTTGATTTTTAAAACATTATTTTGTATTATTGAAGTATATTAACCTGTTAAATAATCTGTTTTGTTTTGTTTTTTTGCTGCGCTGCTTTCAAGACTTTTATGTAAAAAATACTTTTTTATGTTTTGCAGTGCAATTTTATAGCTTTAATTTTGCTATAATACAATTTAGGAAAATTTTATTTTTTATATGACCTCAGATACACGGGTTACAGTATATATCCTCCATAAAATTAGACAAAACGACTAGAGAGATGGTAGGCAGATCATTTAAGCGTGGTCAGACAGCATTAGCTAGCTTGTGTACCATCTCTGGGAAACATAATTACATGTGATTTTATCAAAGTGCTCTCGGGTACAGCAAACACTCCCTGCACCTTGGTAATTTCAGGTCAGAGTGCACTAATAGGTTACTGAAACTCACACACAGATCCACATACTGACTGACAGACCATCTTCTTCCATCAGAGAATGAATGGATTGTGGTATTTTGTTTCTACCTTTTCACACCAACACTACAGAAATACTTTAATGGCTGTCCCTCAGTGATAGCTGACTGAAAAACATAGACATGCTCTCAGAACACACTGCAGGTTTTAGCTGGCATTTTGAAACAGAGAACAATAGGCCTTAAGAAGGTTTTTCAGAACTGACATTTTCATTTGTTTGTGTGTGTGTGTGTGTGGGGGTGGGGGGGGGGGGGGGGGGGGGGGTCTGTTAGTGTGGCATTCTGGGAGACAAGATTGAGGCCACTTTTTGTGACATACTGACATCACCTGTGTGCATACAATAAACTCAACAGACAGCCAATGACAGGCCAAGAACATCTGAGGGAACTCTGGACACACACACGTTTACCTAGCTGTCTAAATTAGGACATACAATAGACTTCTGTTGTTTTTATATAAAGCAAATTAGCTACACTCCAAAACATTTTTTTCTTAGGTCAGTATATTATTTTCCCAATCCAAATATGAATGTTTTCAGCGAATGTATCTTGAATTAAGTATATTGTTAGCACATTAGCAACTAGTTTTTAAGCATATCGTGTTTTATAAACCACACTCAATTTTCTTAGACTTGGGGAACAATGGGTACAAAACCAATTATGCTTAAAGATAGATAGATAGATAGATAGATAGATAGATAGATAGATAGATAGATAGATAGATAGATAGATAGATAGATAGATAGATAGATAGATAGATAGATAGATAGATAGATAGATAGAACAACTCTACATACATACTCTACTCTACAAACCACAGAGATTTTTTTATAAACCTGACTGTTTTGATGAAATCTGCTGTCTGCATAAATGTAATGTCCCTCTGAGAAAGCTGGTTTCCATCAAAAATTATAATATCTAATTTAGCTAGATAGCCAGAGCTCTATGAATGAGTATTTTACCGTAATATTGTGTGTCCTGTCTGATTTATGACTAACCTCTGCTCTCCTCCATCTCATTCTTTCTAATGAAGCCCAAGCATCTAAGGAACTTCCACAGAGAATGAATCTTCCACATAACTATTGTTTTATTGTACTGACAGATTGTAATACAGTAAAAAAAAATGAGTGCTACTAATTTAAAGGGCAACATTCAGAGAGAAGAATTTTGTGCCCCAACATGATTTATAATATTTATAAGCAGATTCTGGTTGTTTTGCCATCCATGGACTGTAAAAAAAAAAAAACAATAATAATAATAATAATTAGTTTAACCTTCTGAGAAGCATTTAGGTCAAACAAGGTTCTCTCTCCTCCTGTGAGTAATATTCTTAATTGTGTTGTCAGTCATTTTATGGCAATGTCCATTATCTTCAGTTCGTAACTCGTCTCGGACATGAATTATACATCAAATTGTGCAGCAGAGCGAAAAAATTTATCCCAAAGACTTTGAAGGGGGAACCCGAGCCATAAATAGAAACCAAAATATCATATAGAGAACCACGTATGTTTTTTCGAACACCCTAGCAGGCACATAGTAACACTCTAACACCACTCAGAACACCCTAGCAACCACATAGCAATGTTTTGGCAACCACTCAGAACACCCATTAGAACACCCTTTTATTGTTTTGCACTGGTAAGCATCAATAACATTTCCTTCAGAAAATGCAAAAATCTAATTTTAAATGTTCTTTTTGTTGTTGTTTTTCGACTTTTTTGGTTTTGGACTGATTTTTAGAACTCCCTTTGGATTGTTTGCGAGTATATATTTCTGTAATGGGCTGTGAGGTGGACATTTGCCAGTGTTTAGCCACTGCTTGGCCCTGATCCCAGATATCCTGTGGCTGAGTTTCTTTGGCTGAGCTGCTGAATTGGCAGACTCTCAGGAGGACGTGCACAGTTTTTGCATTTAAGCGTACATGACTGCTGTTTACACAT